ATCAGAGAACTAGGACAGTCCCACTTAGCCCAGTTCTCCCTGTGTTTAGAAACCCCCTGATACACCTTGTCACCATGCTTTGTTTCACGGAGAATATGTAGCGCGTGGTTAAACCAGTGTTTCTCAAAGTATGGTCTGCAGACCACCTTTATGGAGAACCCCTGAGGTTCTCATTAAAATACAGATTCCTGATTCAGATTCCATGCTCGGCCCACAGTTTCCAAGTCAGAATTTCTAGGAAAGACCTGACAACCTCTATGTTTTTCAGCTAATGTGGTACCACCCTATTGGAAAGACTTCAGCATCTGCCAGACATTTTACTAAATCCACTAGTATTAGCTCATTGAGTTATCACAGCAAATCTATGAGGAAGCATTATTACAATCCCATTTTACAGATAAGGAAACTGAAGCACAGAGAGTTTAAGTAACTTGCCCCATGCTATTCTCACTAATCAAGGAGAGAACTGGCATTGAATCCAGGTCTTTCTGACCCCAGGATCTTCTCCACTATCTTGTTTGCTGCTTCTACCAAAACATTTATTGTCTTGTAACACTTGCTGACCTGTCCACCTCTCCCACTGCTGGTGTCTGAGAACTAAATGGGTGCAGATAAAGTTTTAGGTATTCCTTTTTTCTCAGCACCTGGCAATGCTGACATGGACTGGATGCTTGCTGTTTATGTGTTGTATGAATGAATGACTAGAGGCAGAGCAGGAAACAAGAAACATGGCTGTGGAGAAAGGGAAGGTGGGAGGCTGGCTTCAGGACTCCCCTCACTCGGCTGACCGGGGGACTTTTTCAAGGCCAGGGCCCCAGGCTCTAGGCTGAAAACAAACTGCCAAGTCCCAATACTGACTTGATCACCACTTAGCTTGGATAAGAGCAGCTCTGGCTTTTCGACAATTACCTCAGCCCCATGCCCATCACCTCTGCCCCAGATGACTTCGTCCAGAACAGCAGAGTAGGTGGTACCTTCCAGGTTACAAAAACCAGGGCCATCCCAGATACGCAAGTACCGTTCATAGGAATGTGCCCACAGTCACAGGAAGCAGCCTCTTAAAGATTAATGCCATTTCCAAATCCACAGTGAGGCTTGGGATTTAACACCAACCATGAGCCCAGAGAGGAGGATAGATGATCTCCCAGAAAACACCTCCCTAGTCTTGGCAGCCAGCTGGAAACCATGCCCCTCCCCTGGTGTGTGGCTCACAGTGTGATCCAGCAAGGGATGAGGGCATGAAGGCCCCAAGCATTCACTGAGTTCCAGAGGAACCAGGAGAGGGAGGAGGCAAGATGGCAGCCTGCAGGGAGACCACAGCAGGGCACCAGGAAGGCACGGGGAGGCCAGCACCTCAGGAAGTATGCTTCTGCACAGGACCCAGGCCTATCCAGTATGCAACTGAATTGGGCCTTAAAGGACCTGTATCCAGATTTAACCCTGAGAGAGAGAGGGTGGCCCCTTGGTAGAATCGAAAGCTTCCTGGAAGAAAGGGGTGGATGAGCCCAGAGGCTCTGAGCCTGTCTCTTACTTGTTTGCTGAGCCTTATAAATTCACCCTTTAGGCACTGTGGGACTGATGATAGGAAGTAGACGGGCAGGGTGCTTCTCCCCCACCTTTGCAGCTCCAGGACCTTCTACCACAGTTCACACGTTAGAATCACACCCAGAAATATTTTAAAAATATGGACGCCTAGGCCCCATCCCGCAGAGATTTTGATTTAGTGAGCTGGGATGGGGCATGGGCATCAGGCTTTATAAGAAAATGACTCCATATAATCTCAAAGTGCAACCCAAATTGACAACCCCCGATGGGGCCCATAAGGGCCCAAGAAATGGGCATGCCAGACCCCAGCCCCTGCCTCCCTTACCCTCCTCCCCAGGAGACTCCCCCACCCAGGGCCAGCCTACATGTCCTCCCTGCTGCCCCCGCAGGACAAGACCCCCTGTAAAATCTTTGTCCATCCTTATGGATCACATTCTTTTTTTTTTCCTTAAAGATTTTATTTATTTATTCATGAGAGACAGAGAAGAGAGAGAGAGAGAGAGAGAGGCAGAGGGAGAAGCAGACTCCCAAGGAGCAGGGAGCCTTATGCGGGACTTGATCCCAGGACCCTGGGATCATGACCTGAGCTGAAGGCAGACGCTTAATCATCTGAGCCACCCAAGCGCCCCATGGATCACATTCTTGTTACTGCCACTCCCTTTGTTGCTGGGAGTGGGTCAATGCCACCCTCCCCCTAGACCCTCAGCTCCCCCAGGACAGGAATCCTGACTTCTGGGTCTGTCCTCTGCCCTGAGTTCAGAGCCAGGAGCTCACAGGAGGGTGGGCCAGGCACCATGCGGAGCCATCTACATGGTCTTCCTTATCTGATCCCTGCAACAGTCCAGGTATTTTTGTCCCCATTTTTGAGATGAGAAACTGAGGCTGGGATGGTCTTGGGGTGGTGCCTAGGGCCTACAAGGGTGGCTGCTAACCAGGGCAGAGAAGCCAGGGGACTTCCCAGCAGGGGAGAGGAATCCAGTGACATACAGAGCCACTTCCCCCGAGGGTCTGGTGGGACCCTTTCCTGGAGTTTCCGGGAGTGACAAACTTAGAAAGGTTTTCTTCTTTCCAGTCGCTTCCTTCAACCATATTTGGTCGAGTGCTTCTTGGCCTTCCCTTGCTGATATCTCCTTCAAATGTCACCTTTTCAGAGAGGCTGTGTTTGCCACCCAGGAATAAGCTAGTCCCCTCTGCTCCCTCTCCCCCTTTTTTCCAAACCAGTGTCTCTCCAAGTGGTGTTCTCGGGCTGGTGTCCCCCGCAAACTGTTATCTGTCCAGGACCGGTTAAGTGCAGAAATGGAGAGTAAGTGTAATTCGTTTTAACTGTATTTGACAAAAACATTGGTCTATGACAGACTGGAAACTTTAAAAAGTGGTTCCTCAGCGAGAACAATTTGAGAGACACTGCTCGAAGCCCTTCGCGCCACCTGACAGTCGCGACTGTTCTCATTTGCCCTCTTCATCCGGCTCCCCCTCCATGCTGTCCCCTCCACACCAAAGATTTGCTCTGCTTTCCTCACTGCTGATTCCCCACGTTGAGGGCAGCGCCCAGCAGGTAGTAGGCACTCAGCACACATCCGCTGAATGAATGATTGAGCGAATGAACGAATCAATCAACCTCAAGTAGATCCCATAACCTTCTGGTTAACTTCTGTCATTGAAACTCAATCCAGTCCAATTTAAAACACCAAACTCATGTCTGTTGCAAATCCCTTCTTCCCCTTCCCCACTCAGAACAGGTCTGACTCACTGATGAGGGCGCTGGAGGGGTGGTTGCTCCTAGGAGGTGGGGTCCTGAGGCATCGCCCTAGGGAGCCCTCATCCTCACCCAGGCAGCCCTCCCACTCCTGCCTCCTCCTCCTTGTCTCTGAGCTCCTTCACGGGAGCCATAGGAGTGGCTGGCCTCCCTTACACCCTCCCAAAGCTGGAGGCCACCAGCAAGCCCCTCCCGTCCTTTATCTTTGTGCGCCCTCCACTCTGCGGCATCCCCCCTTGTCCTGCGGGCACACACTGTCCCAGCCAGCTGCCAGCCTCCTGAAACCTCCAGGCCAGAAGCAAGCCCAGCCTCTGTACTCCTGGGACACAAATCTGGGCGCAGCAGGGCTGGCTTTGACAAGTGTTCCAGCTGGGGAGCTACGTCAGACTCTCCTCTCAGGCCTTTCTAGTCGCTACACATGGTTCTTCCAGAGCCTGCTCCTGGCTGTCCGTGAAGGGGGCACGCTGTCCTTCTCACAGTGGGGAGGAAATCCCGGCACCATGAGGGCTGACCACTGAGCTTCCCTCCCAGCCTCCGGTTTCTTCTACAGACCAGGGCAGGGCTGGGAGCACCAGGCGCTGGGTGATGGTAGAGGTTGGTCCTGCCTCCTCTCATAGACCTGGGAAAGGGGCTCTCTCTGCCCTTTTGTTGGTGGCTTCACTTAAGATGTGGAGGACTTGGCACTCTTTGTCCCCAGGTTTGAGAGTGTCGCCCTTGGAAGCCCCCCCTCAACATGCTGCTGTATGCTGTCACACCTGGTGTCATGTGAAGAGACCTGTCATGTTGTAGGGGATGAGGTGGGAGGTGGCTGCTGAAAGGTTCAAACGGATGGGGACAGAAAGCTCACTTCAGAGGCAGTGTGGGGGTCAAGACCAGGAGCCGTGGGATGGTCCTCACACCGGGCAGGGGCAGCTGCCCGAGGCCGCATGCTTTAGAGGGCCCTGCTTTGGCCCTTCTCGGGCCATGCCCCTCCCTATGGGGTGAGCACTCTGCGAGGCCGAGGATGCTGCCCACCAGGAGTCTGTGCCTGCCTTCTAGAACACACCCCATGTCCGTGATCTGGAGGGCAGGGTCCCTTACTGGCTCACCCAGAGCAGGCTGGTGTGGGAAGGCCTTAATGCCGCTCTGAATGCTCTTCTTCCCCCTTTCGCTCCACCCTTGCTCCCCCACTCCCCACTCCCTTACCCCCCATGTCCTCCCTCTCCTCTTCTCCTCCCACCTGCCCCACTTTGCTTCGCCCTTCCTGACACCCCTCCCCACCCTCTGCCCCAAGGTGAAGGTCTGGTTCCAGAACCGCCGCACCAAGCAGAAGAAAGACCAGAGCAGAGACCTGGAGAAGCGGGCGTCGTCCTCAGCCTCCGAGGCCTTTGCCACCTCCAACATCCTGCGGCTGCTGGAGCAGGGCCGCCTGCTGTCCGTGCCCAGGGCCCCCAGCCTCCTGGCGCTGACCCCTGGCCTGCTGGGCCCGCCTGCCGACCGCAGGGGCACCTCACTGGGTGACCCCAGGAACTCCTCCCCGTGCCTCAACCCAGTGACCTCGGCCCCGGCGTCCCCGCCGCAGCCACCCCCACGGCCAGCCCTCTGCTTTTCCGCTGCCGCGCTCCTGGACCTGCCCGCCTGCTATGAGCTCGGCTCCTCGGCCTTCGAGCCCTACAGCCGGAGAGCAGGCAGCCCTGGCGGAGGCAAGAAAGCCAACGTGTAAGCCTCCACCGCCCCCCCCCCCCCCGTGACACCGAGTCCCCAGGCACCTCACGCCCCGCCTCCCCTGCCCCGTGCACCGCCCGGAGCCGGCTCGCAGAGCGCGGGGAGCAGCGCACGCCGGCCCGGCCGCCCCCCAGCTCAGAGACTGTCCACCGGAAGGCCTTGGTCCCGCAGCTTGTGTGTGTGAGTGCAGTGTGCGTGTGTGCCGCTCACTGAAATAAAAGGAAAACACTGACAAGAAGGGAAACAGAGTCCCCACAGCACCACCACTGCCCTCAACCCCCTCTCTCCTCCTCACGGGGAAGGAGGACGCGCTGAGCCAGGGACGCGCTAAAGGGCAGAAACGAGAGCCCCGACAGCCACGGTCACAGTTGCGGGGTGGGGATCGGGGCTCCACACGTGTGGGGGCTGACGGGCACCTGACTCCTACTCCCAATTAGAGCTTCCACCTGCACCTAGCAAAGCCCGTGGTGGCAACATTGATGCTTTTGTTGGTTAAACATTGCTCTTTGCAAGCTCCTCTTTGAAACAAAAATACTTGGGAGGTAGCAATGTTAAATCCTTCAAGAGGGGTAAACGATGAAAGGTCAGATCAGAATCCAGAGAGCCAGAGACGGTAAATCCAGGCAAGATCCCACACGCCCTAGAAAGCACGCCTGTCGCGAGCGCCACCCCACAAAGCACTTTTTAAAAAGTGTTCTGTTTTTGTCTTTTTGTTCAAGTAAGACGCTTGTATTTAACTTTTTGTTGGGCCATGACTGTGGATTTATAGTAGGTTGCAAAGATACTGTAGAGAAATCCTGTACCCTCCACCCAGTGTCCCCCTTGCATTTTCCAACACCGAAGCTTGATATCAGAAGCAGGAAGTGGACATGAGTACCGTGTGTGCGTGGTTCCCTGTCATTTTGTCACCCATGTGAGATCTGTGCACCCGCCACACTGCGGTCAAGGTGCAGTGCCTCCAGTTACCACAAAGCTCCCCCTTCATCGTCACCCCCCCACCCTGGAGGCTTCTTTGAAAGAATGGAAATCCTGAGAGAGGGACCAGGGACCGGAAATGGGTCCTCAGGCCAGAGGTTAGAGGTGAGAGTTCAACTCTCTGGGGAAGAAAAGACAAGCACGTCCACTGCAGTCTGCTCCGGGAAAGACATATTTGGTTTCAGACTGGCTGTCCTGAGTCACCCAGACGGGGGTTCCCCATACAGTTGTGCTTCCTCCCCTCCCTCTGTGCTGCTGGAATCATTTGGCGAGGTGCTTGGAAATGCCCTGACATCCTGAGTCTGGAATGAAACGTGGGGGTGACCAGGGCAGACCTTGGGTTCAGTGGGTCGAGCCACCACCTAGTGCCCACCTTGCCTTGTCCAGCAGACCTGTGCCCCATGACTCCTTTAGCCACTTGACACAAGGAGGGTTCCTCCATTTGTACTTTCTGCTCCGAGCTGAAAACTGTCAGGGCAGACCTGCTGCATGACACCCTAGAGGTAAAATATAAAAAGGTAAGACAGGGTCCTAGGATCGGATAGAGGGAGACCTACCCTGGTTTCCAGGAAGCTCTCAGTATGATGAGATCGAAAGGCTTAAAGAGACCCAAGTCTGATGGAGGAGACATAAGATCAGCTCCGTGGGGGCTCAGAGTCTAGGGGCAGTGACAAGAGGCAATGCTCCAAAAGGGCATGACAAAGGGAAGACACCAGATGTGTGGTGAATCCAGAGTGCTGGAGGATTCAGGGAAGGCTTCCTGTAGGAGGTGGCCCTGAAGCTGGCAGAAGAATGATCCTCTATAGATGTTCAAAAAAAGATGATGATGGAATGGTGCAGGGGAAGAAGTACCCGGGTACGATCAGGGCAAGGGGTGCAGGGTGAGGGCAGGTCAGGGGAGACAGTGAGGAAGCGACGTGAAGAGAGGGCAGCCTGCCAGAAAGTGCATGTGGTGCGGAGACCAGGAAGAGATGTGGTCTGGAGCAAGGGGCTGTGAGAGCACCTGGAGTTCCAGGGGGAGGAGCTGAGTTCATACTGGCTGCAGGCTGGGGGTGAACGAAAAGCCAAATTCAGAGGTTAGAGGGCCAGCCTTACCCCTGCACGCCTCCCCTCCCCTCTGCTGCTGCGGCAGGTGGCTTAGGGCCCCTCCCAGATCTGGAAGAGCTCCAGGACCCGATTTCCCTGTTTACAGTCAACTCAGGGAGGACGGGAGTGGCGAGGGGAGGGGTGGCCACCGGGGCGGTCTGATCAGTTCTCTCCGGCTCAGGCCTGGCTTGAAGAGTTTGCGCTCGCCACCAGCAGGCTCAGGTCCTCAGCTCCCAGGCTGCCGCCTCGCCATGGACACAAGGGTAGGCAGTAGGCCCGGGGGGCTCCCCGGCAGTGGCTGTGACCTGGGCAGAGCCCGGGAACACATGCAAGCGGTCACCCGAAACTACATCACCCACCCCCGTGTCAGTGAGTACAGTCCCCGCAGTGGGTGAGGGTGGGGGCTGCTGGGTGGCTCGAGCTTCTTAGGCTCAGGGAAAGAGGAGGCTCTGAGGCAGAGGAAGATCTAGGGGGCTCTCGGTCCAGCAGAGTGAGGCAATGGACCGCCCAGACAAGGGGCCACCTCTGCAGATGGGGGATGGGGTCCCCAGCCCAGGCTACCCCAGAGGAGAAGGCGGGGGAGTTCCTTGTGGGAACCTCTCGGTCATCACCCTTACCCTGCCCTGAGACCCCAAGTCCAGAGAGAGTTCCCCACTGCCCCAAGGGTGTGTGTTCATGATACATGCTCTGTGTGAATGTGTGTGTGTTGGGCGTGTGTGTGCGTGTGCGAGGAAATGTATGATCAGGAGTTCTCAGGGAATGCGTGCGGCAAGGTGGACCATGTGTGCATTCTCAGGATGGGGACAGACACGCCACTGTGTGTCACGTCAATGGGTCCATGTCATGCGTGCCTTTGGGGGAAGGTGTCTGTGTGTATAACCCAGGGGAAGGAGCGTGTCTGGGTATGTGCGTGCTCCCACCTTCACTTGGGTGAGGATAGGTGTAAATATGTGCGTGAAAGCTTTCAAGTGTGTATGATCAGAGGGAGGAAATGTGTAACAATATATGTGCATCCTTGTACAGTCAGGGTGAGTGTGTGGTTCCGTGCACAAGCATGCGTGCTCGTGGGGAGAATGTGGGTACGTGGTCAGGTGATGTCATATGTTTGTGCCTCTACAGCTGGGGGCGGGGGGAGTGCCTGGCACGGGGAGAATTCAGAATTCAGAGGGGACCATCCCGAGGTGTGTCCAGGTATCTGGGGCACAGAAACCAGTAAGGCTCTGAGGACCGAAGGGAGTACCCCCTCCATCTCTCCTTGCCAAGGTCATTCTCCAATTCTCGAATTCTCGGGCAGCTCAGCTCACTGGACTAAACCGGCCTGGCCAGCACAGGCCAAGTAGAGCCAGAGGCTCCTAACAGCGCGTGTGTGGAGAGAAGCTGGCCTAGAACAGCCACCCCGCCCTCCGCCCTCGGCCTGTTGCTACCCAGACCACAGCGGGAGGAGCCAGCTGGCGGGGCAGCCCAGAGAGCCGGGTCTGCATTGAATGGGGCTGGCATCTGCCCAGAATGGACCAAGTGCAAAGCGGGCAGGCCCGGGGTGCAGAGGAACGGAGCAGGGGGTATGAGGCACCTCCAGAGGCCTGAGGCAGGCACTGAGGGGTGGAGCACATTCCAGCTGAGGAGGAACTGAATGGGACCAGATTTAGCAAGGAGGCCCTGCAGGCCCTGCGCTATGGAGGCATGGGGGAAGTGCGGAGGCCCAGATCCTCCCCTGGGGCAAAGCAGGGGTCATGAAGGCCCAGAAATACCCCGTGACTGGCCCCCCCACTTGGGCCCAGAGCCCAGGCCTGGTGGAGATCTGAGCCCACCCTGGCAGGCTCTTCCCCCACCCACCCCCTGCAGCGTGCCTTCCCCAGGACCCTGCTGGGTGGCACCTCACCCCAGGGCCCCCTCCAGCCGGTTGCCTCTAGCCAGCACCTTATTTAAAGTCAACAAGCCCTGGTACAGGGAAACACCCAGGAGATGTGACCCAGGCTGGAACCCAGGGGTGGCAGCGCCCTCGTGTCTGCCTCTGTGTCACTTCATGGGGCCCTCACTCAGGTGAATGTGTCACACCCAACAGCTGACCCCGAGACAAGGTTCCGCAGACGGGGAGCCCCTCCACCCCTGACTCTTCTCCGGACCTGCATTAAAGACGTTCCCGCCTTTGCTGCACGCCAGTGCCCTCACAGGGTACCCCCAGGGGCCAGCCCCCAGCCCCCCGACAGCCTCCCCCACCCAGGAGCAGATGGGATTCCTCAGTGTGCTTCTCCACCCACGGCATTCTCCGGTTCCCACCCCCTTCCTCCTCTGGGGGGCCTGAGGGGTTTCCTCCCTGAGGGGTGAGGATGGGGTTGGGGTAGTATGTGCAAAACTAGAGCTGCGCCGTGAGCTGCGCCGTCAGGTCAGGAGAGGCAGGACTCCTGAGTCTCTCTCTGCCCATGTCCCCCAGCCTGGCCTCCGACTGGAGGACTCTATGGACTCTACGGATTTCTGGGCAGGAGAACTTCAAGTAGAGACAGAAAGCCTAGGAGGAGAGCTGGGGGACCAGAGGGACAGGGATGGGGCAACTGGCTCCCAGCCCCAGGGCTTCCTCAGCCATGGGTGGGGTGAGTCGAACAGAAGGCTTCCTGGAGGAGGAGGTGGACCAACAGGCCTAAGGCCTTAAGGGTGATTTCACTGCAGTGGCTGAGGGAATAAGCCAGAAAGGAGGGGGCAGGGTAGAATAGGATGGGGGTGAATCCCAGCAATATCTGCCCTGGTTAAGAAGGGACCCGGCTGCCTCCCTCAGAGCTAGAGCTCTTTCCCCAGGGGAAGGAGGTGGCATGGAGCTTTATCTGTTGTGTGGGGCAGAAGGTGCTTGGCGGGGGCAGGGGGGAGGCAGTGGGAGGAGGGAGGGCAGGGTGCAGCGGGAGCAAAGGTTGGACCGACAGGCTGTCAGCCAGGCTGGAGGGGCAGAGCCAGGTCAGATCACCCAGGGGCTGGAATGCCAAACCCCCAGCTTTGCTGCCTGTCTCGGTTTCCTCCACCGAAAGGCCAGAGAGTTCCACCCGGCAGGTCTTGGGCTGATTCTAAGAAGCCTGGGTTTCCAGCCTTGGCCCTCCCTCCCCTAATCCGTCCGGAGGGGATAAGGGAGGAGGTGGGAGACCTACTGGCCCCCGGCTTGCCCCCACCCCGGCTTCACGCCTGGGCAGCCGGCTCAGCCCTCTCCCAGGATGCTGCAGGTGTGGCTGGGCAGGCCCTAATTAGTGGGCTGCACGGAGCCCCGCTGAGCCTTTGACAGGGGAAGGCAGCGGGGGAGATGGGGGCAGGGAGGGGCGCCAGGCCTGCAGCCCTAAGTGCAACCCAGAGTGTCAGCTAGGACAATGGAAAAGGGGAGGGGGCAGAGCAGAGGGAGGGAGTGTCTGCAAAGTCTCAGGAAGGCCTATTGAGGGAGTAACCCTCAGAGGTCTTCTGGGCCAGCCCCCTGCCTCCAGCATGACCCTCCCCCACTTCCCCTCACCAGGGTTGACCAGTAGGTCCCAAGGCTGGGGGAGTGCCACAGGGTGCTGACTGACTTGTGGGTGCCCCAGGAGAAATCAGCCAACTTCTGGGCCTCAGTTGGCCACTGCATGCGATGGACACAATCAGTTGGGGTGGGTACACACAAAAAGCCTGGCTTCCCGACAAGGACATCTTTGTTGCTCAGCCACCACCTTGGCTGTGTCCAAACGAGACAGCCTCGAAGAAAAGATGTTCTCTAGTCTGACCGGGGAGACACAGAGCTCTGGTCTGAGGGGGGAGACATAATCCATCTCATTAAGGACCACAGGCTGGGGAAGACACCTCTAGGGTGCCCGCCTGGGGCCTGTGGGACTTCAGGGGGGAGCAGAGCCAGGGGGCTGCAGGATTCAGTCAAGGGCAGGGTGTTGAAGGATATGAAAAGCCGGATGCTGAACAGAAACAGCCAGAGTGGATTATCTGCAGTGAAGGGCCCAGGCTATGGAGTGACGACTCATTTAGGAAGCCCAAGAGAGAGAGCCAGGCCTGTGCTTCTGGAAACCCAGAAAGCCCGCTTATGGCTGAGGCTGGTGGGATGGACTGGGGGCTCACAGACCACACGCTGGGCGCCCAGCCTGAGGGCCCTGCTGCAGGCAGCATTCCTCCTGGCCTCTGGGCTGCCCCCAGCTGCTCACCACTGCTCCCCCCACCTCAGATGCCCTCCCCAAGGTAGCGCTGTGGGGATTTCCAGGTAACAGGTTTCCCAGAAAGAAGCTGTGAAATGGGGGAAGCCTGCTGTGAAGGAAGGGAGGAAGTTGAAAGACTTGACTGACTCTGAGGCAGAATTGGAAAGAGTTCCCTGGGGCTTTGTGGACCTTGAGCGCCAACTGCACCCGCCCCCCCCCCCCCCCAGCCCACCCACTCGGCATGTTGCTTTGGTCATCTCAGCCCTTTTGGCCAGTCTGGTATTTTCTCTATAGGGCCAGCAAGAGGCCAGCTCTTCCCAGGGCTTTTTAAAATGAGGCTCTGTTCCACTGTGCCTGATCCCTTGGGGTGGCCTAGAGAGAAGCCAGAGTGGAGAACGGCAGGAGAGAGTGGAAGGTGAGCAAAGGAAGTCAGCAGTGGAGCGTACTTGCCAGAAAGTGGGCTGTGAAGGGCAGCAGCTGTGCAAGGACTGGGGCTGAGGGGGTGGTTTTTGAGATGGGAGATACCAGGGGCGCCTGGGTGGCTCAGTAGTTAAGCGTCTGCCTTGGCTCAGGTCATGATCCCAGGGTCCTGGGATCGAGCCCCGCCTTGAGCTCCCTGCTCAGGGGGGAGCCTGCTTCTCCCTCTCCCACTCCCCCTGCTTGTGTTCCCACTCTTGCTGTGTCTCTCTCTCAAATAACTAAAATCTTTTTTTTTTTTAATTTTATTTATTTATTAGAGAGGGAGGGAGAGAGAAACAGCATGAGAAGGGAGAGGGTCAGAGGGAGAAGCAGGCTCCCCGCTGAGCAGGGAGCCCGAAGCGGGACTCGATCCCAGGACTCCGGGATCATGACCTGAGCCGAAGGCAGTTGCTTAACCAACTGAGCCACCCAGGCACCCTCAAATAACTAAAATCTTAAAAAACAAAACAAGATGGGAGCTACCAGAGCTTGCTTGATGGGAGGGCCAACAGAGGGGGAGATGCTGGCCCTCTGCCCTAGAGAGCAGTCATCCCTGGGGATGGCCCCAGTGGGGAGGAAAGGTGGGCCTAAGAGGGAAGGTTGGATAGATACCTCCTCCCATCCTCTGAAGGAAGCTGAAGGAGTTCCCCTGCTCCAGGTCCAAGCCCAAAAGGATGGGTCTTCTCGTGCCCTCTTGTTCTTGAGTTTTCCTAGCAGTCCATAAGCTCAGAAGAGCTTTGCAGACATCCCCACAAGGATCGCCTTGCCCAGTCGGTCTTCCTAGCCCAAGTCTCAGTGAAAGGAACACAGATCAGACGAGGGGTTTGACCACTGAGCCCCAGACTGGGGAAGACGTGAGCTGGGGGCATTTAGTTTCTCTTAGTGTGGGGTGACTTGGCACCAGGCTTTCACGGAAGCATGAGGGCAAGTGGCTGAGATCCCAGCCCCAGCTCTGCCACAAGCATGCTGGGTGACCCTGGGCTAGCGTTTTCACCCCCATTCTCCTCCGCTTTTGCAAAGAGGGTTAGACCACTCTTCCCTCTGATGTTCTTCCAACCTGTGAGTGACCCAGTGACCTTAGAGACACTCTGACCATCCTGCCTTGTCAGGGCGCCTCATCTCAGCTGTCCCACTGGTGCTCCATAGGGCCCCAGGGAAGAGCTGTATATCCCAGGGTCATGGGTGAGGGAGAGTTCCACGGTCTCCCAGCTAGCCTCTAGCAGAACCAAGATAGGCTTCCTGTCTGCCAGTCCATGGCTTTCCTGTTGGGGTCCCCAAGACTGGAGTTAGAGGCTCTCTGTAAGGTGAGCTCATTTCTCCATTTGTGGGTCTCTCCAGCGACTAGGACTAGGGCATTCTTCTTCCTCCTTCCTTCTCATTCTTTCCCCTCCCCCACAGGCACTCAGGGAGCCCAGGTTGTCCAGGATGCCCCCTGGCAAGGCCTCATGACAAGGCACGGACCCTGGCTGGTTTTTCTCACTGGTGCCTGACCCCCCCCCCCAACAGGTGCACATGTGCACAGACACAGTGCTTAGTCAGTGTCGAGTGACCCCGGAGGGCCACAGAGGGAGGGCAGTTCTCTCATCACATCTAGCTGGGGGCCAGAAGCTTTTGGAAAATGTTGTGGGTCAGAGAGGAGGGAGTGGGTAAGATGGGGGCTGAGGCCAGAGGGGAAGCAGCCTCAAGATAAGAAAGACTTCTTCGTGGCTGAGGGGGAGGAGAGGACTCTGAGGGGCCTCTGCCCTCCCCCTGGCCCTCCCCTGCCTCCTGCAGGTGTCCAAGCCAGCAGGTGGCCCTGCGGGCAGGGGCATGACCCTTGCAGCAATGGTGGCTGGCCCTGTCACAGCTAATGACCCTGACAGCCCAGACTGGGAAGGGGGTGGGGGTGGTGCTTACAGGGAGGGAAAGCGGAGGATGCTTCTGTGTGTGTGTGTGAGAGACCCTCACCTACCTCCACCCCTCCCCCAGCCTACAGGACGGTGTGCGGCGTCAATGGGCCCCTGGTGGTGCTGGACCAGGTCAAGGTAAGATTTCCACTTCTTCCCAGGGCTCCCAGCCCCTGTACGGGATTTCTTCTAAATTGCCCTGCCCCTAGCTGTCTCCCATGGGCCCACCCATCCCTTGTAATTCCCTGTCACCCATCCCCACGTTCTTCCTCCCCAGCTATCTCCCCAGCCACCCCCGGTTTCCCTTCCTGCATTTTCAGTGCCCCCGCTCACTCCCGCTCTGGGCCTTCCGGGACCCACACCTACCACCAAGGACCTGGGGGATCCAGGCTATTGTGCCTCTTTATCAGTGGGACGGTTGTATTGAACTTGCTTACAAGGCTGGACTCTTCCATCAGCTGCTTCTTTTCAAAGGAAGGGAAGGCAGAAGAGCAACGTCAGCTAACTCTTCTCCAGAGCTCAAGGTTTTCAGATGTTTTTGGAATATCTCAACCTGGGAACCAGCAGCATGGGCAGAAAGTAAAGTGGGCCTCCCAGAAAGAAATGGGATGTGGGCTCCTTTGTGTCTCCTGGAGAACCGCAGGACCATGGCAGAGACTGACAGCATTTTGAGTCTGCGGTTGGGGATTCTTAAGGCATAAAGGGCCCTGCAAAAGTATGAGGTCACTCTGCTGTCCTCCTGCCACCAAACACTTCCAACCCCAGGTTCCCACCCCAGACTGGAAAACTGGTGCCACCCTGGAGTCATCCCTTCCTCGACCCCAGTCCATCAGTGCCAATGATCTATGAGCAATCTCCCACCCCACTGCTCCCTGATTATGGCCATGGCCTCTGGGCCCCCAGACTGGGGCCCTCCTCTCCATGCTGCCCCCCTGCAACCTGAACCCCTTCGCTTCCCTGCTTCAAACTCACCTAGTACTCCCAGCACCTTCACCTTACAGGCCCTACATTCTGTAAGGTTTCGTGTGCACCTCCCCGCTCTCATGCCACATCCTCTCCCCTCCCTACGTGGAAATCCACGCTGCCTCTGCATGGAGCTGCCATTTGATGTCTCTAGGCCTTTGCTCATATTTTCCCTCTGCCTCTCCCACTACCTTTCCCCCATACCTTCCTCCGACTCACCCCCAGGGCTAGCTGAGAGGTCACTTCTAGAAGTTTCGCCCAGGCCCCTGGGCAATGAGCCTGTCCCTCCTCTCCCTCTTCTGTACTGTCCCATTGGCAGCTCCATCAAGTCATTTGATCACCACCTGGCCACATGGGCCCTCCCTGCCCCCCCAATGTCCCTCCAATTGCACATTACTCCTGAGCCCCCAGAGCCCCACACAGCACTTCTGCTGAACACCCAGTCCATTGTGGGTGCTCAGTTTGTTCAGAGGAAGGGTGTGTAAATGAATGAGAGGCATGAATGAATAAGTGTTAGAATGACTAAATCCAACCCTCTCATTCCTGGAAACCAGATTCCGAATTCATACAGACCTTCCCGTTTGACCCACTAGCCTTGGGGAGGCACTGGGAAGGAGCGTGATGGAGTGTTTACGCGTGTGTGGGTGCACGGGTCACGCAGTCTGACTCCTTCCCACTAGCTACCTGTCAATTCCAGATCGGCAGCATCAGTACTACCTGAGAACTTGTTAGAAATACGGATTCTAGGGCTCCTACCCCAGACCGACAGAATCAGAAACTCTGGGGTGGGGGGATGTGGGGTGGGGGGAGGATGCAAAAGTCAGTCTTTAAAAGCCCTTCAGGGGCTGTGATGCTCCCTGAAGTTTGAGAAGCATCTATTTAGGCTTGCAAACTCTAGTTTCCTCATCTAGTAAATGATCAGAGAGTTGCTGTGAGGATCAAATCAGATAAATGTATTTTTATGGGTCCTCCTTGAGAACGGTTAGCACTCGCTCTGCTTGGAATGCAGAAGTGCTAATGCGCCTGATTAACAGTTGGTGCCATCTGCTGCCCCCTCGTGTGGTATGGAGTCAGTGCCTTCACAGACATCCGCTCTCCCGACTACTAAATGGGGCTAGACTAGGAAACGAGAGAGATCTTCAGACCTGTGGCTCTGTGACGATTAGATGCATCTGTAACTCTCTTAGAACAGACTGAGTGGTTGATGGAGACACCCTGAACTTGCAGAGGGAAAAAAAATCAGTTATGTATAGTCTCATAAGTTCAGGAGATGGAGAAGACAGCTTTACGTACCCCTCTCCCCATCCCACAACCACTTCCCTCTTCCGGAGTTGCTTGGGCAAAATGCCACAATTCCTCCTCCACGGCGCCACCTTCTGCCCAAATCCAACCACACCAGCAATTACGCTTCCTGCTTCCATCTTTCTCAAATGGAAAAATGCTTGGGGGGAAGAATTTTGTGCAGACTGGAAGATCTTAGCCCAGGGAATAAGGGCCTCGAGGTTGTACGCAAACCTTTGAAGCCGTATATCCGTGTGCCTGTGCATTTTTCTAGAGGTAGTTTCCACAGTTCCATCTGATTTTTGGAGGTGTGAGTGTAGGCTGTAAAATGCTAAATGCTAAACCCCTGAGTGTAGACTGTAAAAATGGCCCCGCTAGATTATTAAACATCCACACTCCCAGCCCTGATCTCACAAATGGTCACACACAGGTTGTGCAAGCATTAAAGAGGAGCCCGGTTAGTGGACAGCCACCTGCCTGGGATATATTAGAGAGATTTCACTAGAGCAGTGGTTTTTAAACTTGAGCATGCATGAGAATCCCCTGGAAGGATTCTTTGGGTCCCAACCCAAAGTTCTGATTCAGCAGTCTGAGGTTGAGGCCCAAGAATCTGCATTTCCGGCAAGTTCCCAGGTGCTGCTGCTGGGCTGGGGACCACACTTGAAGATTCACTGCTCTAGAAGATCTTCTTCCAACTGCTGTGTTTTGATGCAGACCAGTCCTTACTGAGACTCGAAGGCAGCTATGCTAACCACTATACCACCAACGCCTTATTGAGTCTTGAAGATAGCACTCACCTTATTCACCAGACTTGGTTCCAAATGTCTGTGGCTACTTCAAACTTTTAAAAGAAAAAGCTTTCAGAAGCATGTATATCAGCTCTGAAGACAATTTCCAAACGGGGCTTCCCAAACTGCCCTGGGCATTGTCAGAAGGAAAGGACTGGAGGCCAGTGCTTCCTCAGAGGAGTCCTGCCAGGCTTGCTAAGAACTTTCTAGTCGGCCGAGTGCACGAGTGCGGGCAGCAGCTCCTCTCTGCCTGACCCCTGGCTGGCTGAGAACTCAGCAGAATCCCCAGCGGAGGACGCGAGCGTCACTGAACCCTCCCCACACCCTGCGGTCCTCCTAGGGACCCAGGGTGGGAGTTGAGAGAATCAGCCTCTGAAATGGGGTTCCTCTGAGGATAAGCTCATTGTCGCGCCCTGGAATTCTCCCCCAGCACTCCCCGTTGTAACTGGCTGTGACCACCCCTGCCCCCACTGATAACTCACGCAGACACACACAGAAGAGCCTGGTACTCTCTTCCTAGAGGGTTCCAGACCACACCCTCCATGACGGGGTGTGATGGTTCTGACCTGGTTCTGCCCGTTCTTCCCGGCGTCAGACTGCAATCTCTCTGCTATGCACAGTTCGTTTCCTCTGATTTCACTGATTTCATCTTTCAGGGACACACAGGGCGCCACCTCCTCTCCGTTCCCCTTTCCTCTGCCCTCCCTCACCCACATAAACCCACATAAAAAAGGAGGACTTTATCAGCCGGCTGCCTGGTTTTTATCGGGCCCATGGCCTGCGCTCTGTCGGGCAGTTTTCCTCCCGAGGTCCACAGCCCACCCGGCAAGGAGGCCGGCGGCTGCCTCGGAGAGAGAGACCGCCCGCAGAGCGGCCGCCGAAGGCCAAGGACTTGCGGTCAACGTCGGTCGCGGGGCCTCCCAGCCCTTGCTCTTGGGCGCCCTCTTGTGGTCGACGAGCCAAAGACCGCTAGACTGGAGCTGCCGCGCAGACCTCAGCTCCTTCCTCCAGGGGCCGGCCCTGCTCTCCCAGCAGCCCCGCTCGAGGGATGGTTTGGGGGAGAACGAGGGCGCTTTCCTGGCCTCCGAGGACGGGCCTGCGCCGAGCTTCCTCCAGTGACTGTCAGAGCTGCAAACGCTCTGGTCTCAAGTTCCACCCTCCCACGCCCGCAGGGGTGCCCTGGGGGAGTGTCCCCCCTCCTCACATCCCGTTAGGAAATTGAGCCATCCACACACCGCCCCCCACCCCCCACCCCCAGACCCTTAACGTCACTATGTTAGGTAGAGCGGGGTATTTAATATAGTGAGGATGGTGATAACCAGTGGCGCTGTACTTGAACATCCCAAATTACATTTTAATTACCAAAAAATAAAAATAAAAAACATGCTCCTGTAACTAGTGAAAGAAAAGACAAGTTAACTGTTTGTCCCTAACCTCTTTATTCCCAGCCTCTTGAGATAACCAAGGTAAAGATCCTGATGTAAAGAGGCAAATAAGGTGCACGTTGAAGGGTTTACATTGGTGTCAGTGTCTTAAAAACCTGATTCCCTCCTGGCAGTAGCATTCTTCTTGATCGCAGTGCGGTAGCCTGGACGCTCTGTGATTGATTCGGTGGTTTCATTACGGGCAGACATTCGGTGTGTTTCCAGGCTTTGTTATTACAAGTAGTACAGCAAAATGTATCCCTTTCATACTGGTGCCTTTATTGCTATAGGGTAGATCCCCCAAAATGAAATTGCTGCTTCGAAGTGTATATTGGTTTGTTTTTTTTAAGATTTTATTTATTTATTTGAGAGAGACAGAGATAGCGAGAGCAGGAACACAAGCAGGGGGAGTGGGAGAGGGAGAAGCAGGCTTCCCGCCGAGCAGGGAGCCCGATGCGGGGCTCGATCCCAGGACCCTGGGACCATGACCTGAGCCGAAGGCAGACGCTTAACGACTGAGCCACCCAGGTGCCCTGTATATTGGTTTTTTTTTTTTTTTTTTAAAGATTTTATTTATTTATTTGAGAGAGAGAGACTGAGAGAGAGAGAGCATGAAAGGGGGGAGGGTCGGAGGGAGAAGCAGGTATATTGGTTTTAAAGTAGATTTTAACTAGATATGGAT